ACTTGTTTTAAGGGCAATATATTGATAAATATATTGATAAATTTTAAGGGCAATATATTGATAAATTTTCAACCTTAAAACATCTTTTTTATCAGTTTTGCTATGGAATCAACGAATGATTCGATTTATGGAGTCATCCGTAATTACTCATAAATAGTGTATTGACACGTGTTATGCAATAATTATACATTTGACACGAGTCAATACATAAAGTTATGGATGACTCTATAAGAAAATCATCCGACGACTCCATAGCATTTCTATTTTTTTAATAAGTTCCTAGATAAACACATTTCCATTCTACTCTTTTAGTTAAAAGAAGGATAAGTTCCACGAAAAATCCTCAATCTCGTTTCAATTTTCTTTTTCAGCTCCTAGGCTAATTAAATTCCACTGTACTCTCTACCTCTTAATAATTTTCAACTTAATCCCTCTTGTTAAAATGAATCAAAAATAAAATAGCTAATGACATCATTCCATTACAGCCGACGTAACTTTCAATATTATTTTATCCTATCTTTCCAATACAATTTTTTTTTTATTTTTTTTTTCACTCTTTCCATATATTTTTTTATTATTTTTTCCTTATCATCTTCTACTATTTCTTTCTCGTACTACTAATTTTTCTTATTTTTTTTATTATTTTTCTTTATCTTCTCTTCCACACAATATATAAGTACCAAGTTACAATAACATTGGTATTGTCCTACTACACTGTAGATATTATTTTTGTAAACGAATATTTACAGTATATATTTATTTTAAATTTGTATAAGTCGGTACTAAAAGACAGTGTATAAGTATTGTGTTACTACAACACTGGTGTAACGCCCCGAATATTTTTAGTATTTATGGAGCTCAATTTTTTTTGATAAATAACAAATTTTCTTATTTAATGCATTTATCTATTATTATTTGCATAATCAATTAAAGTTATAAGTCTAAGCTATATGAAATCGTTCAAATCTTATTTCGGAAACGAAATAAAATTTTAAAGTCTAAGTCTCGATTTATAATTTTAATCGAGTATTGAAAAAGTCAGAAATTTAATAAATTTCTGAGCCGAGCCGAGTCTCGGCCCAATCATTAATTCGAGTGAGTCCAAATTATTTCGAGCCATAAGTCGACCCATTGAATTGGAACCATACTAATAATTCGAGACATTTTAATTCGAGCTATCATCCTAGTTACTTAGCCCAAGTAGTATTTAATTTACCAAGCCCAAGTCAAATGTTTATTAAGCCCAGTTTAAAGCCCAAAATGACACAAAGCCCTAATTTCCCTTCTCCCCTATAAATATAAAATATCACACCATCTCATTTCATCTTCTTCATCTTCACCACCAAACCCTAGTTCAAGAGCACAAAAATCATTCTCCATAGCCACCATCACAAAAACTTCGGCCAAGCTTCACCTTTCCGGCGAGCCGCCGTCGAACCCACGTCCACGAGACTAGACCACTTGATGGATGAAAAGGTCTCAAAAAATGTTTGATCAAGAAACTAGAAGTGTTTAAATTTCGATTGAACGAATACAAAGAAGAGAACACTTGTTTGAAAAATGAACAGAAGTATGATCAATGTTGAGCTTAATGAAAAATTGAGTAGAACCGATGATCATTCCAATAAATAATAAAAAGAGTTAGAAGGGTCGGCATCAAAACTCACATTGTTGAATTATAACAAGAAGTTGTCTCAATTCAGACATGCACTCAACATGATGATGTCATTGCGATTCTTTGCAAATCAAGATGTTTCAATTATAGAGCACGATTAGAAAATGAAATTCAAAAATAGATGGTTTTAAAAGAGAACGCTAATTTTATTATTATTATTTTTTTTTTTTTGTAATAATTAATGGAATTAAAAGAGAGCCAAATTGATTTTGATAAAAATAGAATGTTGAGCGAAAAATAAAAATAAAAAAAATAAATAAAAAATAAGGAAGATATCCTACTGATTGAAGGCAATATGAAAAATAATCCATTTTCAAAAAATGGATTTTCTTGAAAGAAAAGTAATATATATTAAATAGCAATTATGTCAGTTTTAAATTTCGAAATATTCAATACAGATATTAAATCATTCTTTCAAAACATAAATAAATATCTTGATCAACCATAAAAATTATTTATATATATCATCACAAAAAAATTGTTATATTCCAACGGAAAATCCTATGGTAATATATTCTAATGAAAATTCCAACGGATATTTCAATGGTATAGCTTCCGTTGGAATGGTTCCAACGGAAATTCCAGCGGAAATATTCTGTTGGAATGTTTTTTTTCATTGAAATTTTAGATGGAATTTGATGATTTCAACAGCTATATTTTCAACAATTTTTTACCATAGGAATTTCCGTTGGAATTTTTATTTCCACCCCCTTGAAAAATCTACCGTTGGAATCGTCAAAATCCAACGAAAATTTCAATGGAAATCCATTCCAACGGAATATTTTTGTTGGAATTTCCGTTGGAGTCTATTGAAAAATTTCAACGGAAATAATAGTATTGAAATATCCGTCCCCTCGAAAAATCTACCGTTGGAATCGTCAAAATCCAACGAAAATTCCAATGGAAAATCCATTCCAACGGAATATTTTTGTTGGAATTTCCGTTAGAGTCTATTGAAAAATTCCAACGGAAATAATAGTATTGAAATATCCGTTGGAATTGCCGCTTCTTTTAGAATAGATTTCCTTTAGAATTTCATCATTTTCTTGTAGTGTATGGATTAATAGAGTATATATACTCCTTAAACAACAAAAATTAAAAACAACACAAAAAATCAAATGGATTTTTAATATAAGAAACATCAATAACTACTCTTTCTTGGAGGAGATTCTCACTATATATAAAATCCACCATACATCAGGAAAGGAAAAAAAAAAAAAAAAAAAAAAAAAAAAAACAAACAGATTCAACCACATTTTTTATTTTTATTTTTTAAACTTATATCATAAATATATAAAAGTAAAAATTAATAATAGCTAACGTAACCATATATCACCACGCCAATTCCATCCTTCAATCTTCAGCCTTCAAAGTCTTCCCCACGTCGATCACGAACCTGTACTTGACATCCGCCCTCGCCAGCCTCTCCATCGCCGTGTTAATATAATCCATGGATATAACCTCAACATCAGGCAATATATTATGCTTGGCCGCAAAATCAATCATCTCCTGCGTCTCCTTGATCCCACCAATCATGCTCCCGCCAACCATCTTCCTATGCGTGGCCAGCGCAAACATGGGCAGCTCGAGCGGCCTCTCCGGCAGCCCCACCACAATCAGCTTCCCGTTCGGCTTCAGCAGGTTGAGCAGCGCCTGTATCGAGTGGAAAGGCGCCACCGCATCCAGTATCCCGTCCAGCGTCCCCGCTGCCGGCTCCAGCTCGTTCG